AGGAGTTCTTTATTCTTGATAGAAGTCCCCTATCAGATGTATGATTTGCAAATATTTTCTCGCATTCTGTGGGTTGTCTTTTCACTTTCTTGGTGGTGTCCTTTGCAGCACAAAGTTTTTTTCAATTTTAGTGAACTCCAGTTTGTCTATTTTTTCTTTTGTTTTTTGTGCTTTTGGTGTCATATCTAAGACACCGTTGAAGAACGTTTACACTACTATAAGAATCATGATAAAACAGGATAGAGTGGATGTTGAGGGAACAATTAAGTTTTTAGTTCCAGCTACTTTGAAACAGAATTGAAGAAACCTGGTCACAAGCTGAGCAAATCCTATGACATTGCGTGCTATGGGACTGTGCCAGGTCTTAGTAAGACGAGCCAAGAAAATAGAAGCAATATGCCCTGGAGGAAGAAAGCACTTCTAGCTCAATTTTCTCTGCCACTTGGAAGGGCTGTAAAATAGGAAGAGTAATCAAAGGAAATAAAATTTTTAAAAGTCACAACCATAATGTTCCTCAATGAAATCAAAGATCAGAGACAGCTCACTAAGATTTGGCTTCACTATGGAAATAGTGCACTTCATTGTGTTAGAAATGCCTTATTTAGGGTTAGACTGCTTCAAACATAGTTGGATTTGTGGAGTGATGATGGCAGCCCCTTGACTAAAAATAACTGCTTAGATTCCCCTTAGGAGTTTTTAATTACACCATTAGATACATTGTGTGAAATTTTCTTGGTTGAAATCCAGATACCACCACAAAAGATTACATTTTTAATAAAATAATACCTTATGAAGACTCTTTGCCAGCCTCCTACCCAAAGATACACAATCCAGACCAGCTCAGGAGGGATCCCAGGTTAATTTACAACCTTAATGAAAGCCAACCCTGGATATCCCAATCTCCTACATTTGTACCAAGTTAAGAAATGATTACTCAAGCACGTTCTTATATAGCTAACTATATGACAATAAGATAGACAATAAAGTATTTTACAATTGTTCTTCACTACTCTAAAGGGAACCAGACTTCTCTTTTACCTTTAAAACATACATTGTCTGTACACACACGCTCTTATCTTACAAAAATTTAGTTTTCTCAACGTCTCCTCTCCCCATATTTATAACCAGGAAGCATAGTAGATTTTTTAAGAGTTCTCAAATATTTTGTCCCTTCATTAGTGCTATGAAGTTTATCAGACATGGGCCTTGATTTTTGACCATATTTATGATTAACAGTTTAATAAGCATGATAAACATCTACACACTACAGACCTAGAGAACTAGTTCTGATACTCTACAGTTTGATCCTAAAAGTGGAAGCACCAGGGGGCCTTGTCTCCAGATTTCAACCTTACAGATTTGCCATCTAAGATGACTGTGATAATATGTGCTAATAAAATTTCACAGTCCGAAAGGAATCATTCGCAGCACATACTCTAGCACATGCAGACCTCCGGTCCACAACAGAGCCACGTGGTTACTAAACTAAAATGATAGAAAAAGGAGAAACTGTTTTGAGGCCTTTGCTTACCCTTTTTGGGGGGTATCAGTGAACCTTTAGTCTCCCCCTAATTTCATGCAGGCCCAAGCTATAGAGATCAGTATTTATTTGCAGGCTAATAGTTGAATATTTATTGAGTGCCTAAAGAAAGTTGTAGGCTTGCAAAAGGAGATTTGGCCAGGTAAACAGTCATTGTCCTGGAATTTGGAACAGGGTTAAGAACTGAAGGAA